ATAATATAATTATATATATATAATTTAACCCAAATAAATAGATAAACGACTTCCGGTAAAATAACAGCGATAATAGACTACCCACAATGCACCACTGACCCGTATATATATAAATAGCCGAGAAAAATAACAGCTCACGTGGCCTGACGATTGCATATAGCATGAAACAGACTGTCGCCTCTAAGTGTTGCCTTCTATGTTCATTTTTATATTTACACACGCTCTATCTCTGATATTGAGCACTTTATCCCATAAATATAGCATACCTTAAGACTATATTTCTTCATATATATATATATATATATATATATATATATATAATAGACTCTCCCGTCGGTTTCGCCGTATGAGGATCTGACAGCTTCAGTTATGAAATTTTGTGCGATAATCTAGTGATTTAAAAAGGAGGCCACATATGGAGCAAGTATATATATATATATATATATATATATATATATATATAAATATAAAATATAGACATATAAACATATATATATAGGATATAAGGATATATATATATATAAAAACACATACATACGCAAACATAAACACACACACACACACACACACACACTGGAAGGATTCCTCTTAGATGGCCCTCAGCACCGTCTTGATGGTTCCCCCTTGATGATCCAACTGAGCTTGTAGAAGAGTAAAAGTCACGTGGAGCAAGATCAGGTGAATAGGGAGATTGTTCCAGTACGGCGACGTTCTTCTTGGCTATAAACTGACGGATGCTCAGGGCGTTGACAGCAGTTGCATTGTTGTGCCACGAAAGCATGTGAAAAACATGCAATGGTTGCAGAAAGCGAAGATTACAGTCATGTTAGATGATAACACAATTCGCTTATCTCCCTTTCCTCTATAGCTCACACAGCTCACCCAGCCCAGTTACTTTTCAGGCAGACCTCGTATATATGTATATAATATATATTGCCTACACCGACATCTTACTTATTATAAAACACAGATTGTGTGTGTGTGTGTGTGTGTGTGGGTGTGTGTGTGTATGTTTATATATTGGATCGGATTTCCTACATTTTTCAACCGATTTCAACAAAACCTCACAGGACTGCGTAAAATTGCCTTGCGGTGGTTCTGACAGCGCCAACAATTGGAAAAACACAATTGTTTTTGCATGAAATCAATTTGAAAACACGATAAAACACGATTCTGTCGCCAGGATGAAAGGGGGACAACTCATATCGAGTTATACTTATTATAAAACCCAGGTTTTTTTTGTGTGTGCGTGTGTTCGTTTATATATGGGATCGGATTTCCTACGTTTTTCAACCGATTTCAGCAAAACTTCACTTTTTTTTGGGCAGGTAGTGTTTCTTATTGTCTTGCACACTTTTTTTTTTATTTATTTTTACATTCAGAATGCTTTTAAAATTCCATTTACACGACAATTGTTTATAATAAAATTCTATTCAATCGATAGACTCATAACGATTGAAAACAATGTTTTTGTTTGAGTTTGGGTTTGACCAATTCGTAAAAAACAACAAAACAAAAAAACAAACTAATTAAGACATGCGTGTCCGTCAACCTTAAACAATAATCTTTGTCAATTTTATTTTTCAGTCTTTATGATGGTCGATACTTGATCTATCTCTTACTGTTACATCCCCGGGCAACGCCGGGCTCTCCAGCTAGTATAATGATATAATAGAATATGCATACACCTGTGTTCCCCCTTACTGGAATATGATTGGCTGGTGTCCGTCATAAATACAGACGGGCGTGTAGGTACGACAGAGTTTAAGTCTATGACGACGCCCATTGGACTACGCCATTGGCTATCCTATTGGTCTACACCAATTGCCTAAGCATATTATCTGTGACTACGACGAGTACCAGTCGATTACTGCTACCGTGTACTACATGTAGCTAAACCACTTAGCTACTTCGTTCAAATATATCCTTTTTCCTGGACATATCATATAAACATTCAGACATACATTACTTCATGAAAATATTTGCCTGACCTCCCGACTAAGGCAGGATCTGACACAAGGTCTTTTTATGTGGGGAGATCGTACGTATGGATCAGCATATGGATCAGGGATAAAAAAAAAAGCCCAATTTCGGCGACCTCTGTTCACACCTCTCTTACTGCAATGGGGGAGGTGCTGTTACAGATTGGAATCCCCGGGAGGGAGCCCCTTCTCGCAAGGGGAAAATTACATATGGTCAAGTGGTTAGTACAGTGGTTCCCAACCTTTTTTTTTTTGGCTATGTTTCATCTAAGCGTCTCTAAAATCTTGATATCTGCCCCCCCCCCGCCCGTTGACTTATCATTCTTATTCAGAAAGTGAACTCCTACTCACGTAGGGCAAGCCTAAAAAAAGGTCATGAACTTAACTTCCCTTAAGAACTTGAGATTGCATACATGCAATATCATTTAATTTTAGAATGTCGCAATATTTTTTTTAAGCATATCACCCCTAGCAAGGCTGGAAGCCACTAGTACGCAAGGGGTTACAGAGGATTTCGAGCGAGAGTAGATAGGAATGATAGAGGAAAGGATGAAGAGAAGGATAGGGGATAGATCAAGGCAACTGGAGATGTCGATTGACATTACATTTGAATAGTTGGAGATTATAGCTATCAGGGAAACAGGAATAGGGAAGGGAGTTCCACAGGCGAGAGGTGCGGGATATGAAGCTATTGAAGTGAGAGCGGGATGCCAGCCTCGTAGGACGCATGAATTCGCGAAGTCTGGGAACCAGCGAAAGCAGCTCATCGGAGCAGTTACCATGAAAGTATTTGTAAAAAGATAGAGAGAGGCGTCGGCACGTCAAAAATATTTTGTTACTAATATATGCAGACACATATACATACTTACGAGACATTCACGAGACATTTCAACATACAAATGTATAGACACAACACCACCTGTATACATACATATGTCCTATCCGAAACTGCCCACATATGTTTATATATGTATGAGTCCCGACGGACGACCAAGTATGTATATGTGTCTGCATACATCGATGTTTGCGTTCGTACGATGACATAAGCGACGAAGTTTTCCCCACCACTTCCACAATAACACCAATACACGCAATCTACATAAACCCAATTTTAAAAAAAATTAATCAGTTTGTCTGACGATCGCTAAAGCTTGAAACCCAGGGTCACAAACTCACATCTATCCAACCAAATATATATATATATATATATATACATATATATATATATATATATATATATATAAGAAATATGTTGTAGTGGTTCCAACGAGAGAAAAGTATGTATATTAAAAAGAAGAGAAGAGAGGTGTCGCAAACGTTTTTGGTTGTAATGTGGATTTATTTAGAAAAAATATTATGCTTTGTTTTACATAATTTTACGACACGTGTTTCTGGTCTCGCGACCGTCTTCAGGTAAAAGCGGAGATTTCCACATATTAAAAATAATTAATTTTTCTTCATGTTCAATGTTAAATATTATCGATATGAGACATTCTCTGTCTGTGTGTTGGTAATCCGAATTTCTTTCTTGAATATATATATATATATATATATATATATATATATATATATATAAAATGCTTTTGACAAAAAACCCTCAAAAAACTTAATGATTTCACTACAATTATATAACAATAATGTAATGATATTCCACAGACAAATCTACAGTTTGTGTTAACCTCATCTCATTTCATGGTTACGGACTATCAACGTAAATTGAGCTTAACATATTGTGTAATCAGCTGTAACGTTTTGTAAAATACTTACATATGATATAATGAATAATTTGCAGTAAAAAAAAGCAATTTTCGATTTTTTTAATTCGCCACTCGAACGCGTCATATATGCTGTGTATGTTTTAACACACATACGCGATCATACTCACAAAGACTTACTAGAAAAAAAAATTCACTGTTAATAACTTATTCTTGAAATGCCTCCCTTAAAAATCAAATGGCATTGGTGGGGTGTGCGCCCCACTTTGGGAATACCGGGTTAGAACGTTCGATTTCTGACCATAAAATTCGGGTTCGAATATCACCATGCTGGATTTGTCTTGATGTTATCTGTCTGAGGAGACAATCCTAGCGTGTGGCACCTTCTCTAACAAGGCTTGGGTCAACAAACCAATTTCGCCAACAAGGCTTGGGTCAACAAACCAATTTCACCCAGAAGGCTTGGGTCAACAACCCAATTTCGCCAACATGGCTTGGGTCAACAAACCAATTTCACCCACAATGCTTGGATCAACAAACCAATTTCACCCACAAGGCTTGGGTCAACAAACCAATTTCACCAACAAGGCTTGGGTCAACAAACCAATTTCGCCAACAAGGCTTGGGTCAACAAACCAATTTCGCCAACAAGGCTTGGATCAACAAACCAATTTCACCCAGAAAGCTTGGGTCAACAACCCAATTTCATCCACAAGGCTTGGGTCAACAAACCAATTTCACCCACAAGGCTTGGGTCAACAAACCAATTTCACCAACAAGTCTTGGGTCAACAAACCAATTTCACCAAAAAGGCTTGGGTCAACAACAAAATTTCACCAAAAAGGCTAGGGAACAACAATCCAATTTCACCAACAAGGCTTGGGTTAATACCCAATTTATATAACTCGGCTAATGGTCAACAACCCAATTTTGTCAACAAGGTTTAGCATAAACAACAAAAATCCAATAATAAGGCTAAAGTTCAACAAACCAATTTCACCAACAATGCTAAGGATCCAAAACACAATTTCACCAAAAAGGATAAAGGTCAAACACTCAACTTCCCCAACAAAGTGAAATTGGGTAGACCGAACCGTTCGGAAGTCGTCAATGGTTGTGCTAGCACGAAGACCCAAGTCATCGTGACTGAGGCTTTGAGCGTACTGACCTGATTTTAAAAAAATATTTTAAATATATTAAATCACAATAAACTAAATAAGTAAATAATAAATTAACAAACTACGAAGACACATATATAAACACAATTAGAGTGATATCACGCCAGCCGCATCATTCACAACAGAATTGATAACGTCAGCTGTTTGAAGACAAGTGAAGTACTCGCGAGATATCTCGCCAGCCGCATCATTCACAAGCGAATTGATAGCGTCGGCTGTTCGAAGACAAGCGAATTACTCGCGAGATATCTCGCCAGCCGCATCATTCACAACGGAATTGATAACGTCGGCTGTTCGAAGACAAGTGAATTACTTGCGAGATATCTCGCCAGCCGCATCATTCACAACCGAATTGAAAGCGTCGGCTGTTTGAAGAAAAGTGAATTACTCGCGAGATATCTCGCCAGCCGCATCATTCACAACGGAATTGAAAGCGTCGGCTGTTTGAAGAAAAGTGAATTACTCGCGAGATATCTCGCCAGCCGCATCATTCACAACCGAATTGATAGCGTCGGCTGTTCGAAAACAAGTGAATTACTCGCGAGATATCTCGCCAGCCGCATCATTCACAACGGAATTGAAAGCGTCGGCTGTTCGAATACAAGCGAATTACTCGCGAGATATCTCGCCAGCCGCATCGTTCACAACCGAATTAAAAGCGTCGGCTGTTTGAAGAAAAGTGAATTACTCGCGAGATATCTCGCCAGCCGCATCATTCACAACGGAATTGATAACGTCGGCTGTTCGAAGACAAGTGAATTACTTGCGAGATATCTCGCCAGCCGCATCATTCACAACCGAATTGAAAGCGTCGGCTGTTCGAAGAAAAGTGAATTACTCGCGAGATATCTCGCCAGCCGCATCATTCACAACGGAATTGAAAGCGTCGGCTGTTTGAAGAAAAGTGAATTACTCGCGAGATATCTCGCCAGCCGCATCATTCACAACCGAATTGATAGCGTCGGCTGTTCGAAAACAAGTGAATTACTCGCGAGATATCTCGCCAGCCGCATCATTCACAACGGAATTGAAAGCGTCGGCTGTTCGAATACAAGCGAATTACTCGCGAGATATCTCGCCAGCCGCATCATTCACAACCGAATTGAAAGCGTCGGCTGTTTGAAGAAAAGTGAATTACATTCGAGATATCTCGCCAGCCGCATCAGTCACAGCGGGATTTTGAGCGTCAGCCACTCGAAGTCAAGGAAATTACTAACGAGATATCTCGCCAGCCGCATCAGTTACAACGGAATTACTAGCGTTGGCTGTTCGAAGACAAGGAAATTACTCGCGAGATATCTCGCCCGCCGCTTCCATGTAGCTATGAACAAGTAATGCGTACAGTTCATTTCACAGTCGATAGACCCCGCTTGTCATAACTTTAAATCCAGACTATGAATTTGCAATGAACAACACTTGTCAAAATCGCAATAATTTCACTCGCTGCGCTTGTGGAATCAGTTGTAAATTTAGAAGCTTGCAATATTGCAAACTTCATAAGAATTGTATTAAATCTATCACATTGCATTGTTATTAACGTCTCTGTCAAACACAACAGAATTGTGTTGACAGAGTACGGCTTCTAGCAGACCAATGCAGAGTACATACAAGTACAGCTTGAAAATATTTAATGATAACATCATTATGCTATTTCGAGACACGTACGCGCATCGGATTAGCGAGATCCGAACACTGATGAAACTAGCGATATTTGAACACATACTGGATTAGAGAGATCCGAACACGCACTGGACTAGAGATATTTGAATACGTATTGAACTAGCAATATCCGGACAATGCATTTGACTATCGACATATGAACACGTATTGGACAAGCGAGATCCGAACACGGATTGGACTAGCGACATCCGAACACGCATTGGACTAGCGACATCCGAACACGTATTGGACTAGTGAGATCCTAACACGCATTGGAGTAGCGACATCCGAACGTTCATTGGACTAGCGAGATCCTAACACGCATTGGACTAGCAAGATCATAACAAGCGTAGGACTTGCGACAACGAACGCGCATTGGACTAGCGATACCCCAACACGCATTGGACTCGCATTGGACAAGCGACATCCGAACACGCATTGGTCTAGCGAAACACGAATACGCATTGGTGTAGCGAGATCCTAACACGTATTGAACTCCCAAGATCCGAAAACGGGTTGCACTAGCGAGATCCAGACACGAATTGGTCTAGCGAGTTCCGAACACGCATTGGACTAGCTAGATCCAAACACGCATTGGAATAGCGAGATCCTAACACGCGTTGGACTTGCGACATCCGAACACGCATTGGACTAGCGATACCCGAAAACGCATTGGACTAGCGGGACCCGAACTCGCATTGGACAAGCGACATCCGAACAGGCATTGGTCTAGAGACATCCGGACACGCCTTGGACTAGCGAGATCCAAACACGCATTGGAATAGCGAGATCAGAACACGCATTGGACTAGCGAGATCCTAACACATTGGACTAGCGAGATCCAAATAGCGACATCAGAACACGCATTGGACTAGCGACATCTGAACATGGATTGGACTAGCGAGATCCGAACACGCATTGAACTAGCGAGATCCGAACACGCATTGGACTAGTGAGATCCTAACACGCGTTGGACTTGCGGCATCCTAACACGCATTGGAGTAGCGAGTTCTGAATACGCATTAGGCTAGCGAGATCGTAACACGCATTGGACTAGCGAGTTCATAACACGCGTAGGACTTGCGACAACAAACGCGCATTGGACTAGTGACACCCGAACTAGCATTGGACGAGCGAGACCCAAACACACATTGGACTAGCGAGACCCAAACACGCATTGGACTAGCGAGACTCCAACACGCACTGGACTAGCGACATCCGAAAACACATTGGACTAGCGAGACACGAACACGCATTGGACTAGCGAGACAAGGAACACGTATTGGTGTAGCGAGTTCCGAACACGCATTGGACTAGCGAGATCCAAACACGCATTGGACTAGCAAGATACAAACACGCATTGGACAAGCGTGATCCTAACACGCATTGGACTAGTGAGATCCAAACACACATTCGATTAGCGAGATCAGAACACGCATTGGACTAGCGACATCCGAATACACATTGGACTAGTGAGATCCGAACACGCATTGGATTAAGGATATCGTTACACGCATTGGACTAGCGACATCCGAACACGCACTGGACTAGCGAAAAGGAACAAGCATTGGACTAGCGAGATCCTAACAGGGTTGGACTTGCGACATCCGAACACTCATTGGACTAGCGAAATCCTAACACGCATTGGACTTGCGAGATCCAAACACGCATAAGATTATCGTGATCAGAACACGCATTGGACAAGCGACATAAGAACACGCATTGGATTAGTGACACCTGAACAAGCATTGGACTAGCGAGACCCAAACATGCATTGGACTAGCGAGTTCATAACACGCGTAGGACTTGCGACAACAAACGCGCATTGGACTAGTGACACCCGAACTAGCATTGGACGAGCGAGACCCAAACACGCATTGGACTAGCGAGACTCCAACACGCACTGGACTAGCGACATCCGAACACGCATTGGACTAGCGAGATCCGGACACGCATTGGATTAGCGACATCGTTACACGCATTGGACTAGCGACGTCCGAACACGCATTGGACTAGCGACACTCGAACACGCATTGCACTAGCGAAAGTAGTATTACAAAAGCTAAGCCTGCTGCTTTGGAACCGGAAATATTGGATTAAGGACATGGTCCACTGGATAAAAGCGCATTGAGTTATCAAAAAACGTCTTAACACGCAGTTGGAGTTCGATACCTAACACGCATTTGACAAAAGCGAAAATTTAAGTCCAAAAGATAAAATAATTGAATCTGGAACATCAAATGCAGGATGTGGAACAAGGACACATGGTCCACTGGATAAATAAAGTGCTCGTTGGTTGAGTTATCCTGAAAAATGTCGTACAACTCAAAACGTCGTGAGTTCAATGAGGACAACAGTCCGAACAGTGTAGATTTGACAAAATATTGTAAAAATTTCAGTTACTAAGACCGGTCTTTTGAATAGAAGTAGATGTTCCAAATGCAGGATATTTGGAACTGGGTTTCTGGTTCCTTCTAACGTCTATGCTCTAAATAATGTGTCCGACGGAACTCTGAAAATTCTTCACTAACGTATATTACCCCATGAAGAAGGCCGTTAGAGCGTACAAGAACGTCAGTTATTGTCTTGCTTGCGCTCATATGAAAATGAGTAACCAACAGTCCGAACAGTGTAAATTGCATTGGGTAAACATTATCAAAAAAGAAAAAAAAGAAGAAAAATAGGGTGTGAGACAAGGATATATCTTCTCGCCAGATTTATTCAACCTCTACAACGACGTTATTCTAATTGAGCTGGAGACTCTACCAGGATTGATTAATGATAAGTGTAATCTTAACAATATAAGTTACTCAGGTGATACTGTGTTGATGGCCAACTCAGAAAAGAAAATAGAGGCCTAACTACGCAGAGTGGTAGAAGAAAGCGGGGAAAAAGGACTATCAACCGCAGAAGGTATGCTCACCAGCAAGTGAAAAAAGCCCGAGATGCGAGCTACAAATGCGAGATAGCAACATCAAGCGAGTACAGACGTTTATATGTTTTTTTTCTTTCAGTGAGGGTTACATTTTACAGGGCCCCGACAAATTTAATTAGAAACAAAGTAAAAAAGAGTGCTGGATTGCTGTGTGACGTCCACCCTCTTATAAGGAAACTGGTGCTGTACAATCTTCCCACGGATAAGGAGAAAACTAGAGGCAACAGAAAAAATAGATCTGCAGAAGGATAGTCAGAATTCCATGGACGGAGAGAGTAAGCATAAAAACTCTTTAAAAATAGCAACAGAAAGAACACTTATACTTAGAATCAGGCAGAGATTACTGAAATCTCTTGAACACATAATGAGGAAGAAGGGTTTGGAAAACTTAATCTCACAGGGCGTATTGAGGGGAAGAAATACAGGAGAAGGCAGCGGAACACCGACCTGAAGAGTTTGTGCCTATGGATGACGAAACGTGGGTTGTGGTGGCAGTAGCTTTAACAGAGAGAGATAAACTGCTCAGGGCCATAAGGGATAGGAAGTTGTAGAGAGACATGATCGCCCATGTCATAAAGAAGAAGACGAAGAAGAAGAAGAAGAAGAAGAAGAAGAAGAAGAAGAAGAAGAGATGTTGGGTGACGTAACCATCATTGCCAAGGAAAATGGAACCGGTGCGCCGCGTTCAAATTCCGGCCGAGGTCTTTTTCGTTCATTTTTACATCCTTGGGAAAGGTATACTTCCATATTCCTGTAACCAGGCTCTCTTGCCTTGATTGGCTGTCAGTCTAGAAGAAGAAAACAACTCCGAAGTCTAACCTCTAAAGCAACTATATTCTTTAACCTTGGTACGAAACCAGTCTAGGAGATGACCGAGTATGAATACTGTTATAGCATACCTACAGACGATAATGGGTATGCCCCCATTCACATAAATACAGTAGTAAATATTGTATGTTGGTCTGCAGTCGGAGATTCGTCTCCAGCTGTGTTGGTCAAACTCTCTACCTCCGAGCAGAGAGGTTCCCCAGACGAGGCTATGTCGAAGGGCAGAGTTTCGTCTCGGGGAACAGCTACCCGACCCCATTTTATAGGGGTCTATGGGGAATTTTTGGCAGAGCCTACGGGCTCGGATACCCCACATTAAATTCGGCCTTGTGCCACATCTGACCACATGGGGCGGCTGGTAGATATCCTGCAATTAGAAATTCATTGTGGAGTTCACTTGACTCACTTCTAGCAGTTGACTACTTCTTCTACGCGCCGTTGGCGAATCTTATATGTGTTGTTCTTGTCCTAAGTATTATCGTTCATTACCAACCTTTGTGTGATTATTCTGTTCAGTAAATTTTCCTAGGTTACAACAAATACAAAACCACTCTGAAAGGGATTTTTTTTTGGGTATCTTGCTCAAGATCCCCACTACTTCTGTGGCGCCAGTAAATGGGGTACATGACATTTGACCGACACCAAAGCTCATTTGATGTACACGTCTGATGGCTGTCTATGACGCAGTAATATTGGGTTGAGTCATAAATAATTTCCGTTTTTTGTTTATAAATTCTATTCCTCAAAAAAATAAAGTACAACTACATTTTATTCAGT